CCCCCCCCCCCCCCCGCGTTTTTGGAAACACGAATTTGAGAACCTACCAAGCTCAAGTGCCTCCATTCATGCCCAAGCTATCAGAATTCCAATCATCTTACAAGGTGCAAAGAGAGGCCTTCTTGCCACATTGCCAACACGCTGCTCGAAATTCTGGATCCAGAAACTGGCAGTCCGTTATGACGCTTCGAATTTTGCGAACCTCCCCAAAAGCCTTGCGCCTGTGCGCTGCAGGATGACTTGCGCCTACACCTTTTGCAGGACACATCTCCGCGTGATCAGGCCTGGGCAGTGGATGTCTTTGTAGCTCAGCCTGGAGTACATCGAGGTTCAGGGTACTTATGACCTGATTACAGCTTACTGTTCCCTCAAATCCCTTACTTGGATTATAGGTACCACTTATAGTTACACTTGGGCTATAATTGCCCCGAAGATTCAGGTATAGGGAAGTCCTATGAGCTGGAGCGAACCAAAGACTGTCAGAATGTTCGAACTTCAAGCTGCATCTGCAAGGGTTTATATGTATACATATAACCCCCATAATATAGTAGCTTCCATTTTCTTTTCCATTATCCCAATATATCCACCCCTATATTATTACCCCCCTCGTAAGAGAGCTGCTACTTCGTGGCGTTGGGAGGGGGAGCTGAGTTTGCTGGAGAACTGTCTGTAAGTCCTGAACTACTCTGAAAGTAAAGTACTATTACAGCAAACGCTAAACCTCTAAGGTTCGAAGTATGGGCCCCGAATTTGAGCCCTCAGGCTTTTTAGAAGGAGGATTCTACGGACCCTTAAGAGTACATATACTGTATGCAGTTGGTATAAGGTTTCCAGGGTTAAGCACCCATACCAGAGGCCCAGAGTTTCAACCTTGGCAAACCCAAATGCAGGGAGTGAGCTCGGAGTCGTCTACGGCACCCACCGCACTTTCCCGTCGGGAAAGGGCAGCGACACGCTTCTGGAGGCTGGAGATCACCTGCAATGATGCTGATGCTTGCTCGTGACCTGCTGCAACGAACAGGTCACTGGCGAAGTACTTTCAGGATCATGGATACAGGCAGGAGTGCTGAACAAAGAAAATGGAAACTACCATATTATTTATGGTTTTGTGGGGGTTATATAGGGGTAATGGAAAAGAACATGGAAACTACTTGGAGGGTCAGAGGGACTTGGTAGGTAGGTGGATGGCAAAGTTGGATCAAGCATTGGGATATACTGGTGGTCAGCAGGGAATAAGGGAATCTAATCCTTATACAATCCCCATAGAAGATCTTCCCTTCTACCCAGGCCTAAGCCCTCAACTCTAAAACCTAAACCCTTTCTTTTCCTGAGCTTGTGGCCTGGCAGGCCTGCCCCAACTGGCTCCGCCCAGCGACGTCTCACGGTCCCAGGCCAGGGTTAGGCCAAACGACGCCTCGAGGCATTTACTTGATAGTAACAACAATATCAGTGCGCAATAAACATGATAATCTACACTGATCGAAATAACATGATAGTAACAAAAACAGTAAAAAGCACGATGGTATACAATGCTAATAAGAATGAATATTACTGAATCACAATATCCATGATAGAAATAGTAACAATACCGCTATCTCTGAGGATTGCATTCTTGTTTCTTGAGGGTGCCCGGACTGCGCCATCATGTCGGTCTGTCTTGGGGTCAACCTCCAAAGCTTGTTCTGCAATGGCAAGCAAACAGGTATGTCAATCTTCAGCCTACCTATCCGCGGACTACACTGGATATGCCTGAGAATGATGGGCCCTTTGTTGAGTTTGTTTTGGGAGCCTGCATTGGGATCTCACACGACTTGGCTTTGTACAAGTCAGGTTTTGAAGGGACTCCAGATTTGTGAAACTCTCACCGTGCTGCTCAATGTGCTTGCCCTTATCGGTTCGACGCCATGGGGAGCGCAACAGCTTGTGGAAACCATTATGGGCGGTCCTTATGACCATGTGGTAGTTTCAAAAAATAAGGGGACCCCAATATAGACCCCAATATACTGTAATCCTTGTTATGGGGACCCCCAAAAAGGTACTCCTAATTTGGGGAAACCCTAAACCCTAAATAGTAGCTTCCATTTTCTTTTCCATTATTCCTATATAACCCCATTATTCCAATATACTATAGTCCCAATCTGGGGAAACCCCCAATGTTGTTAGGATTTGAAGCCTGTTGTCAGAAGATCCTGGGCTCTTCGGCCGCTGTAGCTCCATTTGAGCTATAGTCTAAGCTCCTTAAAGGGGGGTTATATAGGGGATTATATAGGGAACTACTATATGTATATAGGGAACTACTATAGGGGTTATTAAGGGTTTAGGGTTTAGGGTTTAGGGTTCAATGGCTCATTTGTAACTCCAAACAATCCACTTGCACAGGACCAGCTTACGCCACACCGTCCCGCCGTGCTCTGAAAGCCAATGCTTCTGCACGGACCCAAGCGGTGGTTTCTGAAAGCAGCCTAACCCCTAATCATATAATCCCTGTAGTTTCCATCTTCTTTTCCATTATCCCAGTATAACCCCAAGATATTCCCCCATAATCCCTGTAGTTTCCATTTTCTTTTCCATTATCCCCATATAACCCCAGTTTTTCCCCTACATACTATCGGGTTTGGGAGTGGCTTGGCGCCTTGGTGGTTGTGTAGGGATCATGAAGTGATTATGGGAGAGTATTAAGGGGATCATGGGCACCCTCTGAGCTGCTAAGGGTTTAGGGTTTAGGGTTTAGGGTTTAGGGTTTAGGGTGGGGGGGGTGTTCTTAGAGAGAGTGGCGATCAGGATCCAACCGATTACTTGCACACCGCAGATTCCGCCGCAGAGGCGGGCAACGGAAGTTGTTGCGGTAGAATGGACTAGCAGCCCCAGTCTGCGAATCTTGGCTATTTGGAAAGCACACAGATGATTTCAGGTTTGGGGATAGCAAGGGCTCAAGAAGGTCTTTTGCAGGGGCTCTCTGGAGTTGGAAGTTCAGGGATTGCAGTCTGGGGAAGCTCTTGCAGGCGCCCACCACCTTCCTGGCGAGAGCTGCCTCGCCAGAGCAGTTCCGGCGTCACTTCCTTGGGCAGCAGGACCCACCATACCCATATTTATGTTACCAGCTACTTTTAGGTTAGAAGGTTTGCTTGTGCAATGCCTGTCTGAGAGCTGCCCCTGCATCCTTGGAATCCTTGCAAAATTGCACATCTCATGTACATCATGAATGCTTCGATGAGCATCAGGCAGCTCGTACATGAACAGCACTGGTCACAAGTCTCAGCTTTCTCCGCTTGCATTGAGCTTCACTGTGAAGTTCCTGTCCTGGATGCCACTTGGGTGACAGATTCTGCATGCGAGCCGCCTGCCATTCTGCTGGTGGCAGACAGCAGAGGTGATAACTCGACTAGCGGCCGTGCATGCTTCATGTGATTGCAAGCGAGGATCAGAAGAAACTGTGCTGCTGGGTCCAAGGAAGCAGATTACAGCTTTCTGGCTCAACAATAATGGCGCCCGTAAGCACGTCTATGCCAATGTCCTGTCAGCCGAGCGCCAGAGGCTTATCACTGGCGGGCAGCGAAGTGCAAAAATGTGGAGCTTTACTTGGAAGCAGGATGGGAGGAAAGACAAAGACAACACAAACGATAAGGTCCCAAACTTGGAAAACGACAAAAGGAAAGTAGAACGATGGCAGCGTGTCGGATCAAGCACAAAGGAACAGGGTCGTTACACAACCCCGTCTGACTATGCGGTTGAAAAACTGCTGCTTTCTACCTGTTTTGCAAAAGTTCGAGATGAATCCCGTTTTTACTTATCACCTCGTATGTGTTGTCCTATGCTGCTGCTCCTGCTCCTGCTCCTGCTCCTGCTCCCGCTGCCGCTGCCGCTGCCGCCGCCGCCGCCGCTGCTGCTGCTGCTGCTGCTCGTCAGTACTTTGGTCAGTGACTGTGCAAGATTGAACCGTACAAGGTAGACAAGGAGCATTGCTGCTTCATGACTTACTTTGGTTGCTATTCATCTTTGTGTGACCCTCTTCAGTCCACACACCTTCCAGGACCTTCAAAGCACGGAGGTCAGCTGTCAAGCGCAGCTTGTGGAGTTCGTTCTGGACGTGTCTTTTGACATCCAGGCACGGTGCTCCAGCTTGCGCTTGCACTGGGATTATCAGGTCCAAACCAAGGGAATAGCACAAAGGGTTTATGGTGCACAGCCCCATGACAAAGCCCCACTAATGCCTTTTTCAATCATAAGGCTGCGATAAACCGATGTCTCGCGGAAAGAAGGATCCGGAGGTTCGTCTAAGTTTCGTGCCTTCCTGTAAGGTTCGTCGAGATTCGCCTTCATAGCTTAAGGTGTGCCTCAGGGAAAGACATTGGGATGGTCACGTTCGCGAACACCTTGCGGCCCTTCGTCTAAGTTCGTCTAAGTTATATGGTAGTTTCCCTAAATCAGGGAACCCCAATATAGACCCCAATATACTATAGTCCTTATTATGGGGACCCCCAAAAAAGGTACCCCTATTTTTGGGAAACCCGAAACTCTATATACCCCTGTATAACCCCCTATATAACCCCAATATACTATAGTAGTTTCCATGTTATTTTCCATTCTCCCTATATATAACCCCAACATAGGTATGGCAGGCGACCATCCATATAAGTTGTTAGCCTTCTCCGAGGCTCGTCAAAGAGGCCCTGGCTTCGACTAGCTTCGTCTTTTCCTATTGGTTTTTAGGGTTTAGGGTTTAGGTTTGCTGACCATAACCACCATTAACCGTCCCCCCTGGATTGGCCCCTAGATTACTTGACATGATTCATACTTTCAAGACAGCTCCAGTCAGAAACGGACGAAGAAGAGGCCACTTGGGCGACACACCCCAACAATGGAGAATCACATGTATGAGAACATGGCAATTGACAAAATTAAACAATTCGGGGAAAATATGTTCCCCCAAATGTTTAGCAGCTATGATATGGAGAATGCGGTTTGTGTCCGTTTTGTTGTTTGCCCTGAGGAGCACTATTGGCGAATGGCACAAGCAGAGCTGGAGCTCTTCAACGCTCCCCCCGCTTCAGAGTGGCGCCCTTGGCATTATAGCAGCTAGCTGTCATATTATATCCCTATTATATTCCTGTAATATGATATTCCATTATGTTCCTTTTCTGTTCCTGTAATACTGTGTTTTGGGCTCCATTACAAAGTGAGCATGGAGGTGTTAGCTCGCCACATGTGACACGTTTTAGGGTTCAGGAGCAGCCCTGAACTACATCGAACTGGTTTTAAATCTAGATTCCACCGGCAAGCACTGAGCCTCCAGTAAGCCTGTGAATGGCAAGGTTGGTTGACCCACTGATCCCGCACATTCAGACCCACACCTACAGGTCCCGAACCCTAAGCCCTAAACCCTTAAACTCTAAACCCTAAACCTGAAACCCTAAACCCGTAAACTCTAAACCCAAAACCCATTGCATGCCCCTCTCAAAGTGAGATCTTAGCCAGTTCAAGGCCGGAGTTGTCTGGGCAAGCGACGCCTGTGACTCCATCCCGAGCGAGGCTCGCAACCTGGTTCTTAGTATCAAGGATTTCAGGGTTTAGGTTTAGGGTGTACCCCTCGAGTTGTACCACTGGGTTTTGGCATCCTTTTATTTGAATTTGAGGGACACACTGGCCCATATAAGGGCTATATCGGGGAAACCTTTTAGGGGTACGACCCTATGGGTACAACCCAGGAACCCTTGATAGTAGGGAGTAAGGGAATATGTCATATAGGAATTATATAGGGGCTATTCCCATTTTCCCGAATGACTAGAAACCAGTAAGTAGTATTCTAACTGGGTGTCTAGATTATGAGTACCCGCTGGGCAAAAAAGACTACAATCTCACGTTGCAACGGTAAGTTAAATTCCAACATATTGCTGCATGCACTCAGTCAGGGAGAATTAGGTCCCATTCTTGCATCTTTACGGAGAGAGCCGCTCGGAAAGCAGAAGTCACTCTTGCGATCGCCATAGCGCCGGCCTGCCTAGCAAACATTGCTTGGCGGAAGTGATCTCCGGCACAGTTCATGCCAGGCGGCAATCGTCGGACTTGGCGACTGTGCTGGTGATTTTGAAGCAAGGCCCTGAGGTGACGCGAGCGGTACCTCCATTCACAGTGACGCAGGAAAAAGTGCGGTTGGAAGGCGTAAACATCACCATCTTCCCGAACTCTTGTGAGGTCCTTCCTTGGGGGCACGCTTCTGGTGGCTCCTGGGGAGTTTCTGCAAGCCGGACTTGTGCAGTCGACCCAGCAACGGTGACAATGTTACCCGGAACCCATCTGATGATCAACCAACAAGCCAGCACCAAGGTCGGGAAACCTGCTGTTCTGGTTCATGGGGTTCCGAAGCAGCATCAGAGATTCGAACTTCGTTGCGCGTGTGTGTTGCACACAGGCTCAGCTCTGGTAAGTCTGGGCTCACCCTGGTTTGCTTGACGCAGACAGCCATCCATGCCTTAGACCCTGTGCTGTAGCGAGGTTGCTGGAGCTGTGGTGCATGCGAAAGCTACTGGCGGCCTACCGCCAGGCATAGCCTCTGTTGAGCCGAGCACCAGAAGAAAGCGGTAGCCTTGCCGCTCACCAAACGTACCTCAGGTGGGTGGCGGATCCTTTGGTGTTCTTGCGCTGCGCGCGCTGGGTCGTGGCGGTGCCCTAGCCGTTGAGGCTGCCTCATAAACAGCTGGGCAGAGCACACACTTGCTTATCACAAAGTGATGTGTCAACTGTACGGCTGACTGGAGCAGGTCTCCATCGTGGCGCCTGCCTGAGCCATGTGCTGGGCGAAATAGATTTTAATGCCTCTGGCTGTGTACCATAGCTACTTGCCGTCCGCTCTAGTGACCCGTTTTGTCCGAGTAATCCCTCTATTCATAAGGTGCCCAGGGGTGACCCGTTTTGAGAAAGTCTCATATGGTAGTTTCTCAAAATAGGGGGACCCAATATAGAACCCCAAATACTATAGTCCTTAATATTGGAAACCCCGTCAAAAGGTACCCCTAATTTTGAGAAAGTCTCATATGAGTGCCGCCTTTCCCAGGCGTCGCAGCTGGGCTTCATTGCTACTGCCACTTGTTCTGCAGTTCTTCACCTGGAACAAAAGCTATGTAGAAATTATTCCTGTGGGTTCTGCGCAGTTGTTGCATTACTTGAGGTCCAGGTAATGAAATGATTTGCTGGAGGAAGCGGTGCTTCAAGGCTTTGACATTTTTGAATATCTACTGGTTTGAGCAGAAAGCACGTGCCCTCGTCAAAGCCACATGCCGCAAAATTGGGAGCCCCATTAAGTGGGTTGCTGTTAAAGAACTCAAGCTAACCCCAATATAGTAGCTTGGCTCAAGTTCCTGAACGGCAACCCAGTTAAAGCCGGAATCCCCCAGAAGGCCAGCAGCCTCACAGGAAATGATCTACTTTGCCAAGAATGGTGCGCATGCAACCAAGTGGCTGCATGAGCCCCAGCATGCATCGATGAGGCATCGCTAGGATGTTGAACGAACATTTTTGTTCTGTCAGTCTGCATAGCAGATAGATCGCCTGAGTACTGTAAGAAAGGGGCAGGACTGCACGCCAGAAGTCATAGAGAACATGCACCTTATAGCGCTTAAGCTGCTGCTAGTACAACATGCTGCGACGAGGTTTCACCAGTACCTTCCACAAGAGTCAACGCTTCACCATTGCCACAAGGACTTGCGCTGCAAGTAAGTTGCACTCGGCACATAAGCCCGCAGTGCAGCTGCGACGACGACATATAGTCCCCCTTAAGTAGATAGAATATGGGCTATATGGGGATCTTATTATACGATACCCAAAGCCATATTCTATCTACTTAAGGGGGACTACAATTCCTTAGAAAAGCTTTTGTTCAACAGCTATCAGCTTGGAGTCCATTAGCCTCACCCTAGGGATCCAAATAGCCCAATGTGGGAAATGTCTACAGACAGCGCTACAGACATGAGGGCATTAGGGCCCAATGTAGGTATTATTTGTATGCTTGGATCCATATGATTCTTCATATTAAAAAGCTTATATAACCCCTAGAAACCCGTTCAAAGGTACTTCTAATTCATATATACTTGGATCCCTAGGGTCGCTTCGTTCGGAACTTGCACTACGCACCCAGGTACTTTTGGGGGGGTTCCATGAGAATCCCATAAGAAATCATAAGAAGGATTATAGCCTCGCTATAACAAATAAGGGTCTATAGTGAATATGCCACAACCTTGCACACGGAGCGCGAATCCCAAGTCAACAGTAAGCCAGAATGACATAAGCTCAGTTCCAATGACTTTCTGTCAAAGTATCCCTAAACCTAAACCCCAAACCCTAAACCCCAAACCCTAAACCTTAAACCCACCCTGAAACCCTAAAGCGGAGGATGACGTGGCAGCTTGGCTTACTTGGGCCCAGCTGCTTCTGGTCATCCCGGTGGCAGCATCCCTAGGGTCTCAGCCTCCTTTTGCTGGGTTGCTGTTAAGGAACTTAAATAAATTACCATAATGGGTTAAGGGTTTAAGGTTTAGGGTGTAGGGTTACCATAATGGGTTTAGGGTTTAGGGTTTACCATAATGGGTATATATATATATATATCGTAAATAATAGGGATTCCCCAATATAGTAACTTAAACTAAGTTCCTTAACAGCAACCCAGTTTGAGGGTTGCATGGGTTGGTAGGCTGGATTGCTGGTAAGGAACTATAATGGGTTATATGGGTATTATTGGGATAATGGAGAATAAAATGGAAGCTACTATAATGAATATATAGGGTTTAGGGTTTGGGGTTCTTGTACTATAGTCTAAACTCCTTAAAGGCGGTTATATAGGGGAGTAGATAGGGGACCGTCATAAGGCTTATGAAGGATACTAGCAGTTTAGACTATAGCTCAAATGATGTCACTATTTTGGGGAAGCCCTATTATTACTATATACCCATACTGCGGTAACAACCCAGTATAGCGATACACTGCGAAGCAAGGCTTGGCATCGAGACTTGGCATCACTGACGGCCTTCAACTTTGCGCTTCGGCTGTGACAGTCCGACGTGTTGCTGATGTTCGCAATCGGTTTTCTAGGGATCCAAGTAGCGGTTATATGGGGATTAATGTTCACCTCATAATAAGAAACCCCCCCCCTCCCCCCCCCCACACCCCCGAGGATGTGGGCCCAAGCCTCCGTAATTAAGGGTATCCAGGTCCATGAGCTGAGCTCCAGTTGTCATAGCCCATAGAAGTAGAAGCCAGTAGTACACATAGCTTTTCGACGCTTCCAAATCTTTGGGTTGTGGCTGATTGGATTTTGCAATTACGGGGGGGTTTGCAATTACGTCCTGGCATTTGGATTTTGCAAGTACGCGGGGGTTTATTAATATGAGGTCAACATTATAATGGAGAGTGAAATGGAAGAACATGGAAAATGAAATGGATATTGGGGTTATATAGAGATGCAAGTGCACAAAGAATACGTACATTGGGCTCTAAGGTCTGTAAGTATGACCTACATTGGGCTATTTGGATCCCTCGGAGTTGGTTCCAAAGTTGTTCATGGGCTGCACTGGAGGTCGGAAATACGCTTGCCGGCTTCCCAGATCTTGCAGCTCTTGTGTAGACATCTGGGCAATTTAAAGCGACCTCGCCCGACCTCGCCCGACCTCACCCTAAATGGTTGTTTACATTGGGGGTAGTACAAAATGTCCTTAAATTGGAGATTGAAATTATTCTAAGTTACCTTGATGTAAGATGCGGATCTGGAAGGTGCCCTGTGCTTTTCGGCTCTCACACCCATTGCCCGACCTTGGCTGGAACTTGCGTTGGAGGTCTTGGCTCACCTTGGGCTACAGCTTGGATAGAGGGGGCATTCAAAATCCCCACCCTTAGGGTCCAGAAATCCGAATAGCGCATTCTCAAGCTTCAGGGTCCGTAAATTGGAGCCCATTCGCCCCACAAATGTTTGCATACTGTATGTATTGCACTGGTATGGGGCCCTAAACCCTAAACCCTAAACCCTAAACCAAGGTGCTGAGCACCACGATCTTCCTTGCGGCCTTGGCTGCTGGCGGCCTTGTCACGCACGGTGTGGCACAGGCCAAGCCAATGGTTTGAGCTTGGGCTACGACGGTGCGAGTGCCCAGTTGGCAGGTTTGACGTGGACTACTCGTACCTACTTGTGTAGGGCTTTTTCGTAGGTTGACTGCTGTTGTTCATGTTGTTCTGGGCTACGATTCACGACTGGTTTGGTCTATCTTGTCGACTGACGCCATGGATTGCAGGGCTCAAACCTGAGTGGGGGCAATCTTTGGCTGCAGGACCTTCCGTTCTTTTGCCCCGCGCCGCGGGGCCTCGTATTCCTGGGCTTCTCCGTCTTCACTTTCGAGGCGCACGTCAAGGGACATTCTCAGAGACATCGTGCTTGTAGCTGTCAACGGTTTTGTGTTTCTGCAAGTTGCGTTCTTCCTTTCCTGCAGCTAAAGCGGATGTGATGGCTTCTGCATGTTATCTGTAGTAGGCTTCAGGGATCTTGCGGCACAGATCATGGTACGCATGTAGGCGAGAGTTCGGCAGTGAGGCTCCAACATTCACAACACACAACGCAGACAAGGATACTGCACAAGACCAGAACAGAGGTTGCAATGTCACGACTCCTAGCAACTCTATCAACTCTGCTTTACGTGAAGTGGTACGTGAGTTGTCGTCAGGGCATCAACATGGTCATTCCCATGTATGAGTCCCACAAGGAGAAGGCCGGAAGAACCAGATTCGCGCGGCTACTAGTGCTTGACGTTGCTTGATATTGCCTGACGGCAAAGCATGAGCGAGGTGTGATAATGGTTTTCAGATCTTCCGGGTGCTCGCACAGCAGCGACTGTCAACTTGATCTGGATGTGGCATGTGCTGGTTTCCAGAGGCAAGCTTCGATCGTATCCTCTCCAGGACGATAATTGCCGCGGGAGCCCCAGAACTGGTTAGACGGATTCTTGGTAGCTTGCCTAAGTACATGGTGTTCAATCTAAACGCCAGCGCGCGTGCCGCCTCTTCGAGGGCTGCAGGGACGGACAGCAGTGGGAAAAGACTGGGTGCTCAAGACAAGCAGGCGTAGACAACACCACAGAAGTAGACTTGTCAGGACCCCTATATAACCCCTATGACCCCCTTTCAAAGTACCCCTAATTGGGGGGGGGCTAGGGAGGTAGTAGGAAGCTACATTCCCGGCAAACAGCCTGGGCCTCCAGACAAAACCTCCGAGATGAGCCAGAAACTATAAGAATGATAATAATAATAGATATTATTACTACGGTGGATATTAAAAATCCTGCATGACCTTAGGTACCTCATACCTTGGGAATACTGGGACTATAGCATAGTAAGGTCATGCAGGATTTTTGGTATCAACAGTAATATTCTTATGATCACTACGAGTATTGTGCTTTTATTATTTGTCTTTTTACTGTTGTTATCACCATTAATATTATTATCCTTGAAACATGCGTTGTCCTTGGAATGGGTTAGGGGGGCGTTGCCCCAAAAAGGGGACCCCAATATAGACCCCAAATGCTATAGTCCTCATTAACCATAGGGACCCCTAAAATGGTACCCCTAGTTTCGGGACACCCTAATCCCTAGACGCTATATATCTCTATACACATAGATATATATATAGATACATGTATATATGTATATATATATATATGTACCGACCTAGCCTCTATAAACCCCTTAAATGATCTAAACCCCTCTAACCGTATCATCAGGCTCGACTCCTTCAGCTTGCCTCGGGTGAGCTATAGTCTAAACTCCTTAGAGGGGGTCATATAGGGGATTATATAGGAGACTATTATAGGGTTTATTAAGGGGGATACTAGGAGTTTGGACTATAGCTCACCTGAGCGGCAGGTCATTGCCATCTTCGCGATATTTGCCTCAGGGAGCTGCGCTCAGATTCGACATGTGGTATACTACAGCGTCTTCTAGCCTATTATGGTATATGTTATAGTATATATTATAGTATATTACAGTGTATTGTGGTATACTTTAGTATATTTTGGTATATTAAAGTATATTACAGTATGTTATAGTATGTTTCAGTATGTCATAGTACATTATAGTCTAGTGTGAAGTTGCCTGCAGCTGGTTCAGTATGTTTTGAATGGAGCCCAGCACCCTCGTGGCAGGAATGTGCTTCTCTACGGAGAGGAAGTACGGCCGATTTTGACATTGAATCTGGCGCAGGACTTCTGAGTCTGGCTGCTTGCAGAAGATTTTTTGTGGTAAGCTTCAGATGTTTGTGCCAATAGCCCCTGATGGTAAGTGTAATTGCGGGACTCCCAGGCCAGATCCGACTTGGTTGATTTGTCCTCATCATGTCCTCATCCCAGGACTCACTGGCTTCCACTTGGGCCTGGGCCTCTGCATGTAGAATCATGCGGACACTTGACCTGCCCTCTTGTCCGGAATAATCCAACTTCGCAAAAGATAGCTTGTCCTGCATGCTGTGCCAAAGGATGCCGGGTGGTCAGGTCTCGACGCCCCTAGATACCCAAATGCCAAACCACGCCCATCAGGCAAAGCTTAGCAGGTCACCGTCGAAGAGGGTCTTATCTTGCATTGAAAGCTCTACAAGCAGATGCTGAGGGTGTCAGCAATCAGCTCTTCCTGTGCTAGCAGCAGCAGAGGAGCAACAATTAGATTCATTATGGATCACAAATCCTGGAAACCCTCAGATGTCAATTTGTCTGCATCACGATCTCTGCGCATTCCTACCTCGCTGCGGCAGGTTCCGGTGGCTTTTGCGATTGCTTCGCTGGCACTTGTGCCCTTGTCAGCTCCCGAGGGTTCCTCCCGCAACAGGGCCTTGCATTGGGTTGAAGAGATGAGATTGTCTCATTGGTTCTCAGAAAGGCATGAGTGTATAGTCGATGGGGCTTCTACCGAGAGTATCTTCCCTTATTCCCCCAGGTTAGTTGACATCTATACTTGAAATGAAGGACAGAGGGACTTAGTAAGTAACTAGGTATAAACAAGCCAACAACAGGGAATTTATGACCATATTTAGAAACCACTTACTGCGTCCGCTGGGCCTCTAACAGAAAGGAACCCCAATATAGACCCCAAGATACTACAATCCTTCGTATGGGGACCCCCAAAATGGTCCCCTGATTGAGAAACCCTAAACCTTAAAAACAAACTATATATCCCCTTTTAAAGGTACCCCTGTTTCGGGGAAACCCTATACCCTAAAAAATCCTACATCACCCTAAACAAGCCTATGCATCCCCTTGTAAAGGTACCCCTATTTTGGGAAACTCCCAAGTAGCCTGGTTTTGTTGAAAACGAGGCTGGCGCTGCCGACTTTCGATTTGCTGGAGAGTGGCCTGGCAAGGCCGCATGGATGAGTGGGTGCCTTTAAAGGTGCTTATAGGGGTTAGATAGGGATATATAGGGTTTAGGGATTAGGGTTTAGGGTTTCCGAAAATTTGGGGTATCTTTTGGGGGTCCGCATTACAAGCACTGTAGTATTTCGGGATCCATATTGGGGTCCCCCTATGTTGGGACAGTACTTGTTGAGTGAGCCACAGGTTTGCTGTGACGGTGTACAGCTCGAGGGTTTTTTCTCAAACAGGGGGTCGATAAAGGCCCACGATGTACCATAATCATCCTTATGAGAAGAATCCCCCAAAAACCCTGAAACCTAAACCCGTGGAGAAAAGGTCCCGCAAAAAAAAAAAAAACCCTGAACCCTAATCCCTCATGTCATTGCTGGAATCCGCTAGCAGGCCCAGCTTCACAGCGGGCCTTGTCTCAAGCCACCTGCGCAGTAAGCTCAGCTTATCCAAGTTCATGGTTGGCTGGGCCACCACAGCTTTCTCAAACTTTTTATAAGAGTAATAACAGTATTAAAAGCAACAATAATTTGGTATACTAGAAATACTTGTAATACCAGTAATACTGGTAGTACTAGTAATACTAGTAAGACTGGTGATAATAGTAATACTAGTAATAACAGTTATCTGCAGCACGAGGTGTGAACATCTTCCGAGCTGCGCTGCTTGCTGTTTGCGCCGCGTTGGCTCGCTATGGTCCCTTGGCCTGGCCCACTCGAAAGGAGGCTAGCGGCTAGTGCCATTGATAGAGGCTATAGTCTAAACTCCTTAAAGGGGTTATGTAGGGAATTATCTAGGGGACCATTATAGGGCTTACTAAGGGGGATACTAGGAGTCTAGACTATGGCTTTTGCGCGGAAGAGAAAGTACCAGTGTATGTTCGTAGGCTGCAGCCAGAAACCAAGGGGGAAAAAGCTTGAAGTATTATGTATGTGGGGCGCAAGTTTGAGTGACGGGAGGGTGCTGATAAGACGTATCAGAAGTTACCTGTCCATGCATACCCCACTTGAGGCCAACGTTGAGATGTTTGCGCCTACTTATTCACAATTTGATACCCAAGCTGCGAGGGGATGCAAACACTGCTCATATCTGGCCTGCGATGCCCACAGAGAGGGACATTTACAATCATCTATATGTGCATGGAAAGCTCCGTTTGATTTTGCAGTTCCCTTTCCATTATGAATGTTATTGCCCCATCTGATTCCCCACTCTTGTGGTAGTATCTTTAGCCCCTTACTGCATAATCCGTACGTAGCCCAGCCTAAAGTACGTCAGGATTGATCTTGGGCATCACTATACCCCCTATAATCCCCATGTCACCCCCAATAATTGCTATAATCCCTGTAGATTCCATTTTCTTGTCTATTATCCCTACATAACCCCATTTAATCCCAATATACTTGAGCTTTGCCATGTACTTAGGTGGACGACATTTGGATGATTTTCTCTCTGTTGTGGGAGCTGCCGGGACCTTACGGAGTTGCTGTGTGCTTCCTCAAAAATCCAAGGGTTTGCACCACGCTCCCGTGCAGGCCAATCAGGGAGAGTTTAGCGCATAAAACTTTCTGAAGGGCATTCCTCCGAAAACCTTTGACAGCGCTTCCTTCTAACGTCTTCACCCTGTACTAGTACTAAGTCTTGTTTCGGTTCCCCGGTCTGTGCCAACAACACATATGTTGCGCCAAGGTTGCTTGCGTGCCGCTGGCCCTTATCTACCCAGCTGCC